TTTATTTACCATTTTTCTTCATTCTCTCAGTCATACTTATAAAATCATTTTCTGTAGTACTATTAGTAATACAACTATTAAAAATGTGTTTAATAATACGATTTATTTCTCGTAGTACAAAAAATAATAAAAATAGTAAAAATATAAGTAATACTGTTAAAAGGGATATAATTTTTAGTAACAATTGATTTATGTCTTCTATATTTATTATTAGTCAGCGATGTCTTTTCCCTCAGTTGCGCTATAGTATAGAGTGTAGCGAAGTGATAACTGGCTATCAATTTCGTTGATTATTCTCTGTGTTAGATCCTCGTGATGGTACAGTAGCTCCCAGAAGAAAGAAAAGCCGAGGTCTCCAAGATTTGATTTGAATGAAGGTGATCGTTCAGAGTATTTGTATAAATCGAGAAAATGTTTTTCAAAGTAATTCAATAGTGTAGAGGTATTTGGTGTTTCTCTGACGTTTGGTAGCAGGTTTTTTGAAATATATCTTGATATATTTTCTCCTATAGAGTTTATGTAGTCCAAGACAGGAAGTTGTTCAATGTAATTTATCCAATGATTTACACTTTTAGCGGTACACTTTAGTGTAAATCATTGGATAAATTACATTGAACAACTTCCTGTCTTGGACTACATAAACTCTATAGGAGAAAATATATCAAGATATATTTTAAAAAACCTACTACTAAACGTCAGAGAAACACCAAATACCTCTACACTATTGAATTACTTTGAAAAACATTTTCTCGATTTATACAAATACTCTGAACGATCACCTTCATTCAAATCAAATCTTGGAGACCTCGGCTTTTCTTTCTTCTGGGAGCTACTGTACCATCACGAGGATCTAACACAGAGAATAATCAATGAAATTGATAGTCAGTTATCACTTCGCTACACCCTATACTATAGCGCAACTGAGGGAAAAGACATCGCTGACTAATAATAAATATAGAAGACATAAATCAATTGTTACTAAAAATTATATCCCTTTTAACAGTATTACTTATATTTTTACTATTTTTATTATTTTTTGTACTACGAGAAATAAATCGTATTATTAAACACATTTTTAATAGTTGTATTACTAATAGTACTACAGAAAATGATTTTATAAGTATGACTGAGAGAATGAAGAAATATGGTAAATAAAAAAAAAAAAACGAAATATTTTACTTGTTTTCATTTTAAAAATAACCCACATCTTCAAAAATAAATAGAAAATCCTACATCTTTTTCCCATTAACCCATGCCACGACTAATTTATGACCTACATCTCTATTACCCCATATTGTAAATCCCTATCCACATACAACTTACCCCCCTCCCCCACCAGATCGTACAGGAAAAACTTCAGGCCCAAAAATCTACCGAGGGATCCCCTTCACAGGGGGAGACCCCTCACGGCGGGGAGCGGAAAAGGTCTGGCGCCAGTGGCCGCGGAGTGGGGGTTTGTTGTGTCTAGCTCTCGTTGCCCCATACTACTCATACTAAATATTACTATTGTTTTAAATTAACAAAAAAAAAGGTACATAAATTAAACTAAAAGTTTACTAATTACAGCAATAGTTTCTAACTTTTGTTCTCTGGTTTAACTAGAAATAAAATTGTAACTTTTTAAATATCAATAGATCTATATTTGTACTTTTAAAGCACGAATTATAGATATGAACGATATGGAAATAATTTAAAATACTCACTTTACTCAAATCCAATGGATTATCACTCAGATGAATAACAGCACCTGGGTGAGACTTCCTTGTCCTGAAATTTATAAAAAAATTATTTCATTTTTAAATGACACTGAAGTTAGAAGACGTGTAAAAATTTTTGATTTTTTTTATAAATTAAATTACAACTAAAAAGATATTTCTAAAAAATTGCACTTATAGTTTTTCAAGTTTTTTACATGTGACAATTTTTTTTTTAATTGTTTAATTGAAATTTTTTCAATAAAAAATTTCTAAAAATTTTGAAATGTCAGCTAACTTGATTTTCATCATTTTTAAATGAGAATTTTTAGTAAAAATAAAAAAAATATTTATGTAACTCAGTACCAAAAATAAAAAATAGTGTAGAAATACATTTGATAAAACAAACAAAACTATTGATCCACAAATATGTGGGCGTATGTGTGTCAATAAATGAATGACTCTATCAGAACAATAAATGTATGACTATGTACAATATATAACATTGTGTATAACTATATACAATTTCATATATTGTAAGGGAAGTAAAAGATTGAACTTTCCTCTTAAGCAAAAAATTTGAATTCATTTATTAGGAAAGTGTCATAAAATCTATAACAGAGAACAGACCATTCTGCAATGTTAATTTTGAAACTTTCTGTGTTGTTATTATTATATAGTGCTTTTTCTTCAGCTAGATGCTTTTTTTTCACTTGCCTTTTATAAATATCACTGTCTTAATCTGAAGAATTACTTTAGACATATTTTCTTTATAAAAAGAAAAAAACAAAGGACTATATTATTTCTCTAAAATGAAACAAAAAGTTGTAGTTCAGTAAAAATTCTTCTTTGAAAATAATGATAACAGTTTTTTTTTTTTTTTTTTTTTTCCAATAACTTTCTCTCACTTATTTTCTTTCATATCAAAGTAAAGCCCGTTGACAGTGTGTAATTTGCAAAATTGCTATCTACGCTTATTTCACAGATATATACAAAAGAGCTGAACATATAATGAATGCAGAAAAATAATTTCTAAAAAATTTGTTTGTTAGTTTTATTTTTGGAAGTTATTAAAAATATTAAAAACTGTATTATTTTTATTATTTAATCTTGGAAAAGACCTGCAAAGTTATAAGTGAATATTATTTTTCATTTAGAAAAAGCGGAGCGAGAAAAAAATTACGCTTCACTTAATCATTAATTTCTGTCGCCTTAGCATTCAAATTAAATAAATAAAAAAGTTTGGAAAATCCAAAAGTGCACGCCTCATAATCTCATTTTTCCACAATAAAATTGATTAAAATAAAATATAAAAAGCAAAATAATAAAAAATAGAAAACTCTGCTATGGTTTAGTGGCGCCATAACTCTAAGGTGAGGAAAAAAAATACTATAATAAAATGTATAGATAGATATACAAAAAAATCCACAGTCATATATTAGTTTTTTATAAATAATAATTTAACGACAGTGAATTTAACGCTCATATTAATTAGGAAAATCCTTCGTGTATTACTTTAAATAATAAAAAAAAAATTGTTCCGGTACGATCATTTTTTCGACCAATTTCCCTGTCACATACACT